GGTTGCGCGTCCTTGTTTATTTAACTGTGATAGTTTCTATTTTAAAGTATAGAATATGTGTCACTTCGCTTAAGGTTTTTGCTCAACACCAACATTAGCATTTTGAAGTAGGTATAAACAATTTTTGAACGCTGAGCTAGGAAAAGCTGTCAAATTTCTTCGCTTGTAGCGAGTTTCACTAATAATGAAACGAAGATCGTTCCGAAAATAAAGAAATTTATAAAATAAAAAATCGACAACTGCACAAAAGTACTAATACGTATCCAATGTTTGACTTATAAACATTCTCATTTTATAACAGGTTGTTTTATGTTTATGTATACGATGCACTTCTCCAAATATGATAAAACATTTTGGAACCTTGCTTTGGCGGCTTATCCATGAAACTTTTGTTTGTCAATCAGCTGACTTTATATTCATCTTAATGTTAACGATAGAAAATTCTCCATTCATCGAAACCATACTCTTACAGGCTAATATTTGCACAATAAAATCTGACAACCATCGCCACTACACACAACTGTTTGCATTCGCTTTCTAACACAGTCATCACATTGATAAATTATATAGCTAAACATTTTGCCATCAAAAATTAACTGCAAATAGAAATACGTCAAGGATACTTGCTTCTTGGAATATGTTTCACAAATTATTATTACTCACCTGGTTTATTATATAAATACATTGGTTTATCAAAAACGCTCTAGCGTGGATACATAATGTAAAGCAGAATAATTCTGTATAATACCACAATACCTATATTTTTGATTATAGCTAATATTGTTGATCAATTCTTTGTACAACTTTTACGCTTACTTAAAATGTATAAAAAACATATTCTACAAGTCGTACAACTAGAACACGCATACATGGACAGTCCTGTGTACAATACTATTTCTTTCGATGATGACGTAGCTAATAAATTTATTGAGTCTTCTTTTTTAAGAAACACTGCCATTTCAGTGGATTAGGTGAATTGTGAGATCCGCGTAAATTGAAAGCTCGTGTAGACAGTTTTAAGAAGCAATAAAAGTTACAAGATTCATTCGGAAATTTATCTATTGTAGACAAAAATAAGATCACTATAGTGTAAATATTTCATGTTTTTTTCTTTGTGCATGTTTTGCCGCGCATATTATTCTCGATTTCATTACTCAGAAATGACATCATGTCATTTAAATGGTTAAAAACAACGTTTTACCAGATGGAATAATATGGCGCACGTGAGAACTCGTTGCACACCTCAGTGATCCTTCTGTATAATTATCATTTTGTGCCATTATAAGGACTCGGAAAAATGTCTTCTTGAAATTTTTCTGAAAATAAGAAATAATATCAAAAACATTATTTCAGTAATATTTTTTTCTCCCTCACTCAAGGTGTATAAATGAAATACATCATTGTAATTCTCACAAGTTTTATGATCAATTTTTCGATTGAATCATAGACATTAAGTTTAGAATTTATGACTTATGTTGCAATAGTAAAAAGCATGTAATTTTTTCTATTTTATAGATGAAAAGAAAATCACAAATATGGACAGCCAAACACATACAACAGGTATAGTCTTTTCTGAACTTTTAAAACTAGCTGTGCTGAACGAAAGTTTTTTTGTATTCACTTGTTGTTAAGCAGATTTTTGATAATGGTTGTCTCATATTATCCCAACTTAATTTTTCATCATAAAGTGCTTTTCAACCCAACATTCGGATAACAGCTAGTGTGAAAAAGCCAGTTAGTTTATTTTCTTCTTCATAAAATAATGAAATGCGAATAATTTGAATGAGTTACAAATACACAGAAGAGTATTTTCAATCTAGTCTTATTGAAAATATGTTACTTGCACTGTTGCAAACATGCAAAAGTTTTGGCACACTCCTGAAAAAAAAAGGTCGGCAATTTGGAACGCTTTGCTCCATCGTCTCCTGAAGTGAATTTCTGCCCTGCAGCACTGTTATTCGCAGTAAAATTTACGTAATTACAATATTCAATGACAATTTTACGTTCATTAATATAATGATTTATGAAAACCTATTGCTATGGAGAACGCATTGTGGGTTTTATGTGACACAAAAATGAAAATTCGAAAAAATCATTAGCCATTGATAAAGTCAAGAAATAACGACTCAGATAACACAAGGATATGTGCATTCCATGCTTAAAGCCCTCAGCCCCCAAATTTGGTCATGCTATGCATATGTGTTCACTCACTGCAAGAACAATAAATTTCCAAAGAAACAAATAATACTAATGATGTACAATTTACTTACGTATAGCAGGATAAAAAATATGGGGTTTGCTATGCCATTGATTCAAAGGCAAACGCTGAAAGTAGAACTCGTACGAAAGAAAGTCTCGAACATTTTCTTTGAGTTAAAGTTACTGTGTTTTTTGGTTTGCAACTTTCTCAACATTTTGCTTCCGAAACATTTTCTACTTTAAGACCGTTTTAAACAATATCTCATATTTTTCTAGAACCTGAATATATAACGAACAACAATGAAGTTTTTAGAGAAAAGTTCCTTAACGACGATTACAACATTCGAGATGAAATTTTCAATACCCTCCAACGGTAAAATTTTTATATTTTGTTATCTTCCATAACTAAAAACAAATGATGCAGTTTCATTCATAGCAACTTTTTGCGAGGTGGAGATTTAGTTCATCATATTGTTCAGGCATTTGATCTTAACAAACAATTAGCTCACAATTATTGGATGTGGTTGAGCATGATATCAAAAATTATTCAAACAGAGGTCAATATTACCTACCGAAGCAAAGCTCGGGCGGATAACATCCACTGAGGTCTGACTAATGAATACAGAGGCTTTCATAAAGTTTTCCGTGCTTTGACAATAAATTTTTCGGTTCCTTTTCGTCTTTCTCCCGTAAGCAGTCGATGGCAACTTTCCTGACTGACAGTGTAACACTCCCCGTGCATTTTTACGTATTTATTTTCAATGGTTCAAGCGAAAACAGTTTGTAAACTCCTGCAAAGCTTAAGCGAGATTCTGCCATTTTTGTTTACAATTTTCTCATGAACCATTACGTCATCTACAGATAATATTCAATATTTTTCACGTTGCAAAACATTTAGAATTTTCTGTTGCCTTTTATCCAATCACAATAAAGATTGCACGGTCAGTATTTACTTGATGTGTAAACACTGACCGTGCAATCTTGATTGTGATTGGATAAAAGGGAATTTTGTTTTCCAAAGGTCTCAATATTTCCTTAGATGAAGTCGAAGAAAGCATTGTTTGAGACTCGAGAAAAGGCAAAACTCATTTTTAAGGGCTCCCTCATTAAGTTTTTGGTTACATAGGAGCAAAGATAACAAATTTCAAATTTTCGACAGCTTTTCAATATAATCAACGTCTTTCGGGGGAGATCAAAATGAGCTGGCAACAATTGCAAAATGCTGTAAAGGTGATCACAGCATTTTTCTTCCATTGTTTTCTAAATTCTTTCTTTCTATTAATAGTTGAGTTTTGTCGTTTAATAGCTCGAGAAATGTTTTTTAGTTTTCAGCTCCATAGCTGTTTTATTTGTTATGATATTAAATTGAGCGGGAAAACATTTTTCACTTGTCTCCGTGTTTGTGTGGTGTGAGGGGGACATTGCATTAGTTTTAAGTCATGCGACTAAAAATTATTCAATCGCATTTAACATACACAGCACTAACACAACCGTGTTTATGAACTGTTTTCGAAAGATAAAGAATTATTAGGCTAGTTAATGGTTATCGTTTGTTTCTATAAACAGTTTTTTCCCTTTTGAAATGTTAAATTTAGACTTATCAATGAAGAATACAGATCACATTCTTCATTCCTAGTCATGAGTGGTTTTTAAGTATCCTCTCCGTGCTGGTGTTAACTACCGTTATGTTGGCAGAAACACTTGCCATTTTTTAAATAAACATCTAAAAAGACTCCCACCTTTATGTGAATATACGAGCAACAACGACAAACAATGTTAGGACTCCAAAACTCTTTATTCTCTTCAAAATTTTAAGGAAGATTGACAACTTGATATGTAATACGGACAAATAATCAGCTTCACTTTCTTATATATATTTATTTTGCTTATTTAGTTTCGTGTGGATAAACGGACCTGTTGGAATAGCTGTTCCAAACCAAGAGATACCTTATGAACATTTAGTTATCACAGTTGATAAACAGGAAAAAAAGTTGGAAGACCATATAAAAAAAGGGATTGATTCTAAATTTGGATGGGAAGCGTCAAGATTCATCGAATTACGAACTTCATCATCGAAACCATTAAAGTTAAAATATTATGGTCATCTTCGTTTATCAAATACGTCTCGAGATATTAGTGATAACATTTGTTGTAGCTGTGAGCTGACAATGTTCTGTCGTAAAGATGAAAACTATTTCGCCTTGACCTGTGCACATGTTGGTTGTGTCGGTCACCAAGTGGAAGATCTGGAAAGGGATGTTTCGACAATAACTGATATTGTTAATGCCAGAAATAACAATGATAGTAACAAATATTTCTACCAACCGCCCAATTGTGAAGAGGAGAAACAACTGGGTACCTTTTCCTGCAATACGGTTAGTGTGTTTAATGGTGAGACCGATTTCATGTCTATTCCAGTTGGGAAAAAAGAAGATTTTCAGCGTCTCGGTGGAGATGATATGGTGAATCTTGCGTTGAGATTAAAAGAAATAAACAAAGAGCTTTATGAAAGATTACGAAATGGCCAGGGTTTTGTCGAAGTTCGTACAAGTAATCACACCAAGGGCTTCATAAGTGAACGGAGTTATTTATATTTTGGTAAAACTTCGAAGAAACTGATTTTCAAAAATGCTGTAAAGGTGAAAAGTGATGGCTCTTTTCTCAAGAAAGGTGACTCGGGAAGTCTTGTTTATTTAAAAGATCGAGAACATGTTGATGAAGACAGTGACGATGATGATGATGATGATGATGATGATGATGATGATGATGATGATGATGATGATGATGATGATGATGATGATGATGATGATGATGATGATGATGATGATGATGATGATGATGATGATGATGATGATGATGATGATGATGATGATGACGATGATGATGATGATGATGATGATGATGATGATGATGATGATGATGATGATGATGATGATGATGATGATATTATAGGCTCCAAGAGAACCTATATATGCTTAAAATTGGATAAAGCATTGGAGATATTTGATCTAAGAGATGGGAAGTTCTTTATAGAACCCAAAAATAACAATTGTGGCTTTTCTTCTGACAAAAGTAATTTAAAATATGCAAAGATTTATAACTATTTATGCTTCCATAATCCATAATATCGAACGTCATAAGGCAAAAAAATGTTTGAATTTTTTATAATTTAATAGATGTAATCGGTGGCAGGAGCGCTACTGAGGGAGGGTAATCACTTGAGATCAATTTAAAGCAAACAATTTCCACGAAAAGATGTTTTAGATATATTCTGAAATTTCAATGGCAATCACTTATATCAGTATTTTGCAAAAGCCATAATTTCTTAAGGTGGTTTACAATAAGTAAATTTACTTATTTGGCAAAGTCAGCAAGAAATGATATTAACTTTCAAAAACACTCATACACTTTGACCAAATCTGAAAGAAAAAATTTTTATAAATCCTTTGTAGACCCAATATGCAAGACTTGTTTCTTTTTGGTTGATAAATCGTCCGCACTAATCTATTTTTCTCACTTCTTAGATAGTTTACCTGGTGAATTAACAGATGAAGAAAATTGTTATGAACATCATGCCACTCAACAATTACCAACTGAGTCTGATCTGAAATCATTTCGTTCAAATGTTCAGGCATTTCAAATGCTGTTGCTTTGGGAAAAGGAAAAAGGAAAAGATGCTACTAGAAAAAAATTGGCAGACGCCTTAATCAGCATAGGTCGTTCGGATCTTTCAGAGAAAGTTTTACGAGGTATTGCCTTTTCGATGAAATACTCAAGCGTTATAAATGAATACTATCGTCATCCACATAAATATGAGTACACAGCAATATTTTCTCTTGAATCGTAATTCGACTGTAATTTGTATTATTTTATCTGCAGAGAAAAAGTGCTTAATACTAAAGCGAAAACCGTTATTAGCGGTTATTAAAAAACTTATCATTTCCTAAAATGTAATATTCAGCACAATATCACAGAATAAAAATCATACAGAAGGCTCACTCAAGTGTGCGCTGCGTCTTCACGTCCGCCATCATTCCAGCAAGATACTTAAGATTTTTCATTTGTTTCCAACGACTCCAATTACATGACGTCATTTCTTCACAATGAAATCGAAAATATTTCAATGTAAGAAATGACGTCGTATCATTTTAGTGGTTGGAAACAAGTGAAAAGCTCTAAATATCTTGCTGGAATAATGGCTGCCGATATGCACGGCACAACATAAGTGAGAAGAAAACATCAAAGGCTCCGACACGAGTGAACCTTCTGTATAAACCATATTCTGGGACACTATGCTTATGATCATTTGCATCGATCATCAGGTGATACAAAATAAAGATAATTGTAAGTTTACGTACGATTGGTCGTTTTTTAGATAATTATTAAGCGGATATTGAATCAATGAATTCATCTTAAAGTGCTACTGAAGTGAAATTTTCATATTTCGTTTTTCGATACAAACGTTTTCTCTGTATTTTACTGATCATTTTGAGCTATCGCCCACTGAATTTAGTCGATGGGAACGCATCGAACTTTGCGTTCAAACATGGCATATTTGCTTGTTTTGATGCGAATTTGACTTTGAGTGCGTGACGTCATTTAAAGGACGGAAGTTCAATTTTAAAGCTCTTAGTATATAAAAATTATATACGAACAAGCATATTTCCAACTGGAATTTTACATATTTTATAACTTCTCTTCGCAAAAATTGCGTATATTTAGTGACAAATGAGCAACACGCATAGGTAAGCAACATTTACAATCGATTAGAGTTTTATAAACTTCTTGAATTAACTTATATTTCTCAATAAACTGGGTGCCGCATCCTTGACGAAGCCTGCGGTTTTAACACACACGCAATGTTATCAGAAACTAACTGTAACGCGCTTATTTCCAATCATCCAATGTATACTACTTTTATAAACTTCTGGATTAGACTTATCATTCTTATCATATGGGTGTCGCATCGTTTATTTACGTTCTTTTTTCTGTCAGCCTTTTACATTGAAGACAAAATAAAACAACTGTGTGAAATCGGTAAATAACATTGAAAACGAGAAGGAATCGTTTGAATTTTCCTCTGATCGGAAGAAAAAAGGAAACTTAAATTTGAGCATTTATTGCTCATTAAAGCGAAAACGAAAGTCATAAGAATGTTGTTAATGTCAATAACATGTTCTAAATGTTAAATAGCGCCAACTTACATTCAACTGTACCAATGACCTTATTTTATAGCAACTTCCATTTATTGCAAATCCATTGGAGGAAACAGATATCATAGCATTATTTGAACATTCATATAAGTATTAAATATGTACAATAACATTTTCAAGAGTTAAATTGGATGAATTGATGAAATAAGAGTAAACGGTGAAAGAAATTCAATAAGAACCACTAAAGATTCAATATGAACAGAAGAAATTGCTAAAGTAGTGAAAAAACAAAAACAACTTTTCTTGCTATTTACCAGTTAAATGTGAGAATTTTTTAGTTCTTATCACAAATGACGTCATACCAGTTTGTCTATAACTGAACAGAAAACGGCTAAATGTCACCTCTTTGTTAATTGTATTAACTGTTCAATCACCTGATGATCGATCACAATGGATGATGAAACACGTTACAGCGAAAAATTACATTTTAAGCCTTTAAAGAAGGCACGAATTTTTTTCAAACGTGTTTTAATAGGTTAGAATTTTTCTTGGGTTTTTCTTTCACTGTGTAAATGAAAATTTTATAGCTTAAGCTCGAGTTCTTTAATAAAAAGTGTAAACTACTGTCATGCAGTTCACAAAGCCTGGTAGTTGCTGTCATTGGTAATAATTTTTCGGGCAGAAGAGATAAACGATCACATTTTATGTTTTTGTATTATAATTCAAGGGTATATAAGTGTTTGCAGTTTTTGTGGTCGTTTACAAAGTTTGTTTTTATCTAGATCAAAACTGGGTTTACTATATTGAATCCAGGGTAGTCGTTTTAGATAATTGGTTGCAATAGTAAAGAAACTTTGATTTTTTAATATTTTAGAAGAAAAAGAAAGCAAGAACAACGACATCCAAAGACAAGCAACAGGTATATAATTGATACAGAAATTCTTTGTAAAGGGTCGTCGAGGAGGAAGGTGTCGTGGGTCATCCTTTTTACTAACATGTGTCGTCAAATGAATGCCTTTTATGTTGTTATACATTAATGATAATGACTACAAATATCAGGACACAAATTTTCTTAACTCTTTCGCCCGCTTAAATACATTAATAACGTTGAGATTTTCCCTTTTTGATTAAGCGCTCTTTTGAGTGGAAGATATACAAGGGATATATTTTTAGGAGTAAAAATATTTTAAATCTCTTTTAACATATAAATAGAACTAAACTAAATTAAACTGCTAAGAAACAACGACACATGCAACTAAAATTTGTTTTCCATGTTTTCTTTCTATCTTATGCTTTATTTATTATGTGGTTTGCAATTTATGGCTAGAAACTACTGAGAGCCTTTTCCTCGTTAATCTTTTTAAACTGATATGCCAAAATACAATTTGTTTGACTTTGCCTTAGTTCAACTATTTTACTTTTTTTAAGTATCTGCTTTTTACTTAATATAAACGTATGCTTTGAAAAAATATCAAGTACTCTATTTAAAATTCTTCTTGCTTTTTATCATAGCTACAAAGCTGGGGGCTAGTTGTTTTTATTACAAATATATTTTGTTTGTTCTATATATGACGAGTTAAAAAATTTTCTACTAATTGTTTTTAACTATTGCTCGTAAAAATTAGAAAAATTAAAAAAAACTTAAGTAAAAATTAGGACATAAATAAAGTTCTACATTTTTCCGTTTTTTATTTTAAATATTTTAGGAAAAATACCCGATTTACAATACTTGGATTTTAAAAAGTTTCTTTATTACTTTAAAATCCTAGTTTGATATATATCTTTGTTCTTGTAAAGAACGTGTAGCTAAATTCTAATAATTTACTTGAAGAATTGATTCTTGGTTTTTTCTTTTTATTTTAGTAAGCTTTATAAACTCCAGTTAACTCAGTCTTTTCCTAGAACCATATTTATTATAAAAAGCAACTTTCTATTTTACGCTATGGTTCAATTGCTCTACTTTTATATCTTTTTTAAAGAAATAAAGTCTGATGATCCTGCTGATGCTAAATCTCCTTCAAATTTACCTGTTCACACGGAGAATAAAGAAGGTATGTTTATTATATTACAAGGTAATTTACAAAATTTACAACTTTATTACACGAACTCTTCAGTAGTCAGAAAGAGGAGAAATCGTGAAAATACTTGGAATCTAGATGAAGTTGATTCCATTGATTCTTCAAATATTCTTTAACTTTTGGTTATAAATATTGTTCATTGTTATAAAACTAAGCGGTTAGAACATTTTGCAATCACAGATAACGCAAAACGTTGCAAATTTTGGTGTTATTTTTAGATTGTATTATTTCAAATAGCACATGTTACTTTTGTGGCATTAAGATACTTTAAAAAACCAGCATTGATTATAACAAATTTTATACACAAAACCTCAAATGTAAAGCACGTCTCACTTTTCCTTATCCCAGTTGTCTCACTTTTCCCTATTCCTTCCCAAAAAAGATACAGTTCTGAAGGGAAAAATATGGAAGAAAAAACGAAAATTAATTAAATTGTATTCTTCATTGACAATTTTATTATCACAACTATTTTAAATCAAATTTGAGAATAATCATTTTGACTGCATAGATAACTTATCCCACAAAAAACTCTTTGCTTAAACCAAGTAGTTTACTGCGTAAAGTAAGATTCAAATCTTAGAACATGTTTAAGTTACATTCTTTATGCGGCAATTTTTTTGTTAACGCACAATATCAAACGTTCAACAAATTAAAAAACAATGTAAAAACTTAGAGGACATAAAGCTTAGGAGAAAAATACTTTCCTTCATAATTTTGATCTTAAGACAATAAAAACTGGAATGACAACATTTACGCTTGAAACAATTTAGTTCAACCAACTTTTTCATATCTGTATTAGGTTGCACTATTTTTATATGTGAAATATGTGAATCTCCTTGCATGCAGTTTGTTTAAAAACTGAACAAATTTTCGTAAGGCAAAATTTGATTGTACTTCTTTCTTGATATGAGTGAGGAAAGAACGAGTAGCATAAAAAGAATACAAATTCAACATGCAATACCTAACGCAAACCATATACGAAGATGCATGGGTGTTATTGTTGTTGTATTACGTAGATATATGAAAAAGCATGTCATGCCTTCGCTTTTCATGATGACGAGTAGAATTAAAATATATAACTTCAATTTAAGGTATGTCTTGCTCAATTTTTTAACTCCAACTCTTCATCAGCTACGTCACTACGTAGATACATGATATTTTTAAAGTTTGCAGAAATTTGTATAGTATGAAACCTATTGTAAAAGCATATTATTACATTATTTAGTAAACACTGATAAAAACTTAGCGAAGTTAACAAACAATTTCTTGTGCAGATACACGCACCGACCAAGTGTGTTTTACTTTGTTTCCAGCAGTGAATACGTTTTTCGTGATTTATTACCAGTTCTCTATAAAACGTATAAGTGATTTAGCATCTTTGCCCCCTTATAAAGAAACAGAAGCATAAACAGTTTATGTGTATGTTGTTTCAGTTAGAGTTTTGACGTCAGGGTTACTAAATTCTGGCAGTCAGTACCTTTCTAACATCGCATATTACTTTACATTTGGCAAAGCTGGTTTAATTTCTGTCTTTTTACGTAGATTCTTTTCAACTTAGCGAAATATATACATTATAAGATTCCCTCTAAGAAGAGGCGTAACTAGAACGTTAATTGGGGGTGCATATTCATATATTCAGTTGTGCTATACTGATTATTTTTAAAAGGGAATTGAATTTTAAAAGAAATCAGTATGGCACAACTGAATATATAACATTATAAACCCTCCCCACCTTAACTAAAGTTCCAGTTACGCCTCTACCTTTAAGATTCCATGATGTCTTTTGATATCGTTGAGATGTTGTAACGTTCTATATTTGCCTTGAAATTAGACAAACAATTAGTCCTTATTTTTTTACGGGCTGTGTTACTTTGGATGAGATTTGTAGAACGAGACATTCCTTTGTTGGATAAATGCTATCAAACAGCCCATGCGCATCTTCACAGCCTTGGTGATTCTAAATATTTATATTGTGAGATTAGATTCATGTTCAAATCTCGCACCTAGTCCAGTGAGTAAGACACTGTAGTAATCACTGCATTTGCGTTTCTATGTGAAATCAGGTATAAAACTCAACATTCTGTAACAACGACTCAACTGCATTTTAGAATCATGACTAGGCAGTGTTATATAAGCATTAAATTTCCAAGCCATTTCTTAATGTTGTTGTTTTTCAATTTTTAAACACTATATAGTAAAACTGACAATAATTGACACCTGGAATGCCAGGTATAATTTTCCTAATATTCCTGCAACCTCCCGTTTGCAGACCTTATTTAATACTTTTAGGTTTTTGGAATGCTTTCAAAAATAGTGGCTTTTATAAAGTAGGGAGATTGCCATGGATGATCAGTTTTTCATTGGTTTAATTCTAAATACATGTTGCTGACAATCAGGTTGCTGCACGATAATTTCTACTTAGTCAAATGGTTCTAAGAAATGAGAAAGGAAACAGCAAATATTTTGCAAGGGGCTCATATCTTGTTCCAAAACATCTTATTGTTTAAACGACTGTAGCATTCTAGCACACCAAGTCAAATGTAGAAAATTTGTGAAGAGTATAAGTTTCCCTGTAACACTTGCTTTCATGCAAACACTCTACATTTTGTTTCCTATATCATTGTTATATTTTTATGAAATATGACATCGTTATTTGCATTATATTTACACACCATCAATTGTAATAAGTTTATTTTATACATATTGGTATGCTTAACACTGCAGGGCATGTATTTCTTAATGTAGTATGATAAGAATATGTTTAGTTGTGGGATAAAATTATCAATACGAAGAGTTAAGAGACTCTTCAGAGAACAGACAGGAGTAAAGGCCTGTTCTTTAAAGACCTAAGGAGGTTTTCTCGCTGGAAAGTCCATAATGACACTTTATGCAAACATGAATAATTATGTACATCATCAAAGCTATATAGTCAAATTTAAAGCATGTGCGCCTTGCCTTTTTTATGTTAAAATATTTTTTATTAACTCGCAAGCATTATTAAAAATGCAAAAATTAAACAATATGTAAAAACTCAAGAGATATAAATCTTGGGGACGAAATATTTCGGTGCATAATTTTAATCCTAAAATCATAAAAACAGAGATGACAACATTGACGTGTGAAGCAATTTATTTTACCAACTTTCCCATCTATGTACTGGGTTGCACTTTATGTTTTATATGCGGGAAATGTGTAAAGGTTATTGATGTTAATTTGAAAACTGAACGAGAAGTCTATCTTAAGTCATAAGTTAATTTTAATTCTTTCTTGTTATGAGTCAGAAACGAAACGGCCATGGGCCAAGTTCGAAAATTGTGCATTTTTTCAAACGTCCATCGAAGAACCAAAATATATTTAACCATCATGTTGCTCTAGTAGTACTTATCAACTTGAGGATGTATGTCCATTGTTTAACTTGCACATAAAAGAGAAAAATCAATTATTTTATCTTGAATATATGATCAGATCATAGAAAGGTGAAATCAATGTTATGTTTATACGTCTTCAACGCAAAGAGAGTCTTTTTCTCATCCAATTAGGTAGCGTTAGGGTGAAAAGTCTTTCACTACACTTGATAAACAATGGTGAACAACAAAGCTTGCTGAAGGTGCTCACTCGGATGACGAGTTTTTTGTGTTATGCATATCAAAAATAGTGCTACATGTTTGTAAATGATGATCGTCCAGGTTAATAAAGTTCTGAGAAGGACTGTTTTTGTTGTTGTTAACCTGGACGATCATCATTTGCAAACATGTAACGATACTCCCGGGTTCAAACCATTTACTTTAAAAATAGTGCTAACTAAAAATTAACATCATTTGCACTTGGCTCCTTGGTCTATCTTTACTTTTTATACTTTTAAATGAAGAAAACTTCCATGTATAATAAGGCGAAATGACGTTGGAATCCGCGTTAAATTCTAGTAATGATTTACGACCTTTACGTTGACAATTTATCTTTGCTGAAAATCTTTGCTCTTCAGAGTTCTTGTTTTGTACTCATACCAGCGCCCTGTAAATTACATTACAATTGTTGAATTGGTTTTGCATTGTTCAATTGCTAAGAAGAAAACAGAACAGGGAAATAGGCAAGAGGAGGAAAAAACAAAACGATCGACTTATTTTAATTTTTACTTTTGGCGACTTATAATTCAGTACATACACATAAGATTCTTTAGAACCATGCAGATGAATTTCAAAGCTACATTTCCTTTCAATTACTCGAAATTTACTTCAAATACTACTCAGAATAGCAGTGATTCATCGTTGTATTTTTTGTTTTTATAAGATAAGAAATGAATATTGAATGAATTTTTTTGTTAATGTTGTTTCAACCTAACTAGAACAAATTGTTATTTCAATATTAAACTATAAGTTTGATAGATGGTATCTGAGATGTCGTGTTTGTTTTGTTATGTTATGACATTTGTTGAGCTATGAGAGAATTGTTTTAATTTTTGAGCTTTGCTCTTTATTAACTTTTCAATTAACTTTGCTGTTTGTTTGGTGAAATAATAGTCTAATAATAGTGAAACAATACTCGCCCCGGTGGCTCATGGCAACTTCTTCAGTTTTTATCGCAAATGACGTTATACCCGTGTATCTAAGTCTGTATAGACAACGCTTAAATGTTGTCTATTTGTTAAATAAAAATTACCTATGCTGCAAAATTCAGCTGATTCCTCAGTGGACACATGCCGATGTTATTTCAAGACGACTTTTTGTGATTCGGCCCATGGCCTAGAAGCAATAAGATAAATAGCATACACATTGAACAGTATTTTACGCAAACGATATCCTAAGATTCACAGGAATTAATGTAAGTCTGTTTGATTATTCAACTTCAACTTTTCGTCAGGTATGTCACTAGCCATGATAGAAACATAAATTTTTGAAGTTTGCATTGATTTCTTTTTATAAACGTATTGTAATAGGCATGTCATCACAAAATTTAATACTTTGTTCGATAAAAATTAGTGAAGATCAACAGAAAGTTTTTTTTGAAATACGCATACTGACCTAGTGAGTTTTAGCTTGTTTCTATAGTGATAAATATGTTTTTCCTGGTTTTGCAACAGTTGAAAATCAAGCTTATGTTGTTATGACTCATTTGTCACCATATAAGTGACAGGCTGACAGCAGCATCACTAGTTTATGTTTGTGTTGTTTAAGTTCGAGTTCTGGCGTCAGGGTTACTAAATTCTGGCATATCAATACTTTTCTAACATCGTATATTACTTTACGTTTCGGAAAATCTGGTTTTATTTCAAATATAACTTTTGCCAATTCTCACACCAGTCTGTTTTCTTTGAAAGATCTCAACTGTTGCAATTATTACAGTCAATGATGATTTGCCCGTAATAATTGCACTGTAGCCGAAAACTTTTAAATAGATAGGCAAGGAAGTTGACGGGTTAATCTGTCCTCAAATTGAAAGAGTTAATTTGACTTCTAGGAAGATTTTTTCCACTTAGCGAAATGTCTACAATAAGGTTTTTTGGAACCTTCTTTCTAAGATTCCAAAATGACGTTCTTTGCTGGAGTTGAGATTTAATGTTCTATCATTGCCCTGAAATTTTATGGGCTGTGTTTCTTTAATTTTCACATGCCGCACTCTGTCCAATCAGTGAGACATTGTAGTAATTGCTGCATTTGGGATTCTATGTAAACTCTAGTAAAAGCTTTTCTTAACGTTCTGTAGCCACAACTTAACTGTGTTTTATAATCATGACCATGCAGTGTTATGTAAGCATAAAAGTGACTATCACTCTACAGTAGAATAAACAATACATGACCCATGGGTGGCTTGGTGTAATTTCCATGGTATTCCTGCAACCTCCTGTTTATTGACCTTATTTAATGCTATTATAGTTTTACAATGCTTTGCAAGAGTAAAAGATTTATCATAAGTTAGGGAGATTGTCATGCATGATCAGTTTTTGATTGGAATAAATCTAAATACAGGTTGCTAATAAATCAGATTGATGCGCTTTAAAACCTGCTTAGTCAAATGGTTCTAACAAATGAAAAATGAAACAGTAAATTTTTGGCATTGGGCTTATTACTTATTTCGAAAACATTTAATTGCCTAAACGACTGTAGGATTATAGCACACCAAGTCAAATGTAGTAAATATGTGAAGAGTATAAGTTTCCCTGTAACACTTGCGCTTTCATGCTAACACTCGGCATTCTTGTTTTCTTTTATCATTCCAATAATTTTATAAAATACAACGCCGTTATGTGCACTACATTTAGACTCCAGCAATTGTAGTAAGTAGACTTTATGCTTATCGGTATGCTTAACACTGCGGTGCATGTATAGCTCAATGTATTATGATTAGAATAAGTTAGTTGTGGTGTAAAATTGACAATACGAAGAATAAAAAGACTCTACAAAGCACTGACACGAGTAATAGCCTATTCTTGAAAAAGCTAAGGAATTTATCTCGCTGTTAAAACATAATGACACATCCTTTATGCAAAAATAAATTATTGTTTACATCATCAATGTTGTAGCGAGAGACTTGCCATGCGGGAAACGGATTCGTGCTAAGAAGACAATTGCCCAACATAAAATTCGAAATAAAGCGATTTTTTTTAAAGTAATCATTTATTATTTGTAACGTTTCGTTTTTACACAAGACATCATCAGACAGGTAATTAAAATGATCAAGTGTGCGTTTATATTTACATATTAGAAGTGTAGTTATAAGTGTTAGATTACATTAAGGTGTGATGAACATGATATATATGTATATAAAAATATTGTATAAAGTATGAGTGAAGATATTAATATGGAGTGTGAAATGGACGCAAAACGTAGTGGGATATTTAGAAAATTTCAACTGGGATGGAACTGTCTTGGACATTCAGTTTAGGTGTTAGATTTGAGAACAGGGGCTTTCATTGATCATTAAGTCAGGAGTTTAAGGTGACGATGAGATGATAGTGAATTCGTCAAAGGAAGCTGTGTGACCCAGAGCCCTCTATTAGCAAGAGTTGGGACAAATGGTCTGGGGCGAGCGCGGAGCCGCCATTTTGGTTCCTACTTGCAAAGTTAAACTATAATAATACTATTGGAAATTGGGTTTATATGCAAAAGAAGAAGGCAATTTAAGCTTATTCCATGGTAGTATCAAATATATTAGGAATAATAGCAAGCTCTTTGCGTTTTTTTAACGATTTGCGGCAGACCTGATTTAATTTCATTGGTTTGAGCTTCGTTTGCGGTTTACTAGTTCGTGCTTCAAATTGATCGTGACCCATTGTAAGAAGTATTTTTCGTACGTGAACGTGTTTTCTCGGCTTATATTCCGACTCTGTAAGAAGTTTTCAAGATCTTTAAGCTTGGTGACAAGCGGCAATGTTATCCTGGCATCAGTGTTATCAAATACTTGGACAAGACTTTGTTCGAAACTTCGAATCATAGTAATCATGCAGTTTTCTGTTCAAGATTTGAATGATGCTACTTGCTACTTTGGAGTTGGCATTATTTCATTTGCGATTAACTAATTCTCGCATTGCAACAGATCGTGAGCCATTGCCAGAAGAAGATTTCATGTTTTCAGTTTTTTTCTTTCGAAGAAGAGCGTAAATCCTGACACGAAAATAGGTTTTTAAAATCTTTGACTTAGCTTGGTGGCAATCGGGAATATTACTGTCAGCCATGGCAAGGCATTTGTCAACAAGAGCACTCAGGATACTATTCACTTTCATTACTTGTGCCTCACTAGCCACGAATATGCTCTCTGCACGAAGGAGTAATTTCTTTACCTCTTGCGAAATATATGTAAGAGATGATCCGGTGTTGTCGCGAAGCTGGACAAGACTTTGCATTGATACGATATAGTCATGCAATTCTGGTTTAGGAGGATCTGCAAGTAAGGTTTTCAAACATTCGTGGCAGTGACCATTTAGTTTGATGAACTGGTGGACTGCATACCCTCCAAGATGGTCCAAGCTTGACAATTCTGATGTAGAGATCAAGAATAAAATCGCTCGGTTCTACAGAAAACGATTGACTTTCTTCATGTTTTGATGTAGGAAAAGATTTCTCCAAGAAACAGTGTGTCTCTGATACTTCATCTGTCTCATATGAGGAAGTAGATTTTCCAGAGATGCACTGTGACACTGTGATGTTTCTTAGTGCATTTTGAATTCCAATGCACTTGGTATTGGATTCTTGAATCTGATTGTAGAAAAAAGATTTTCTAAAGCATCTTGTGTGAAGCGGCTGGTCAGAAGGAACTTGTATTGTTTTTCCAAAATGAAGCAGTTCTGAAGTTCAAGAATGGTTTTGGTTGCTAGAATTGTTCCTGTTTGCGCAGGCCTCCACTTGGCATTTGATTCTGATCCTATTTTCAATTGGGTAAAAAAGTTTAATAATCGATTCAAGGAAAGATACAACTTCTGTATGTTTTTCATGTGTGTAGAGACTGAAACCCATTTTTGGAGAACGTGATGTCATCAGGTCGTACCACAGACCAACTTGATCACAAAACCATGCTGTAGTTGTGGCATTCTTGGGCAGGACTTTTTCCTGAATAAGAAAGCGAATGGCTGCCCCAGTTTTTCTAGATAGTAGATTCTTAGCCATGCTCACTTTCATTTTTTCAAAATGCCCAGGATCACAGCATTTTTCATTCAGGTGTGGTGCAATCTTTAGATTATGCAAAGAATCATAATTAACCAGCTTTTTGATGTGGTTTATTGTGACTGCATTTGTAGGTAAATTGCACTCAGCAATGGCATACTGTGGGATGAAAAATGTTTGTCCACGAGTCAGATGATTCCTGATATTCTTCAAAACATGTGGAACATCAGGCATAAATGTAAGTCTCTGACCCTCAATAACAGGATGCTGAATGGTATTGACTATTTCCACAGTATCATTACACTGTCCCAATTCATCATTTTCTCTTTTTACTTTACAATAGATCCCAAATTCCCGAAGAACAGCCTGGTTGCCCCCCTCCCATATCCATAGTGACATTATAAACTGTTAAATTGCATTCACTTGCCCTTTGAATTATCTCAATGATAATATCTTTCACTTCTTTAGCTGAGAATGAATTTCCAGTGAAGAAGTACGCAACAACTTGTTTCCATCTTGCTGTCAAACCACATAACATGAAAACCATGGCATGTGTTGCCATTGTGTCTTGCATGTCTTTTCATTGCTGCCAGAGAGAGAGCAATGGCCGATGACTGACTCAGTTCTTGTGTCAAAATCATATGATGGAATGATTGCCATTTCGTCAAGCAAAAGAACACAGTCTCTTTCTTGATCTCCCATGGAGGAAGCCTTTCAATGCAAATTAACCTTCAGTATACAATATGTAGGTATTCTTATGTAGCTACTTTAGAAAGTCAAAACACAACAGTAATGCTTTTGTGTTTTCTATTAGTTTGTATGTTTACCTTCAATTGCAATGCTGCAAAAACCTCATATGTAAGACCCGAGGAAAATTCAATGTGCTCCATTCGTCGATTAAGTGTTCTTATAGAAGGTAATGGATAATTCATCCCAAGTAAAGTGCTGTATCCAGTTGCTCCACATGAATATCTTATTTTTATAGCACTTTCAATTGTGTTATTTGACCACCTAACTAAAAATAAAAAAATCAAATGTAAATTTTAAACTTATATTTAATATATTTGTTTTTTTAGTGTGGAAGTGCAAAATTTCATTAATATACTTCATCAATTTAAAAATGGTATTGCTTAACCTTTTCCATAACCAGGCTTCTTGGAAAGGTAGGCTATTTGGTCTTCATTAAATAAAGCAGATATGTTGTTTGCTAGGTTTTTATGATTTTCTTTTGCTTTTATCAGCTCTTTCTTCAACATTTCCGATTCCTCTCGCAGCTTTGTGTGACTTTGACTATTTGTGCTACTTTGAGGATTGCTCAAGTCCAACTCAGTCACAGTCATTGTAGATTGTACAGAGTCAAGATTATTATCATCTTGGCTACTATCACTCTCAATGGCAACAGGTTGTGGTGACACTATGTGAACAAGAAGGTAAACATGTGTATATTTCCCATTGGTCAATAATTTATAATGTACTGAAGATGCCAAAACGTTAGAATACTGACCAGTGTTCACTTTTAATTCTCGTTTAGTTGGACTCTTTCTTCGAAGCACAGGCTTTCGATGTGTGAACAGAGTTGGTACTGCGTTTGGTCGAAGTTTGCCGGGGATTTTAGGCTCGAATTGATTCGCTTCGAAGTGAACCTTAAGGAGCCGTACCACAATATCACAACACACAAATACAAATTTGTTGTAAATATTTATTAAAATTTTAAAATTTACATTGTCATTGTCATGTTAATTATCTAAAGAACAACAAGAGTATAATTGCCTCGCAAAGTCTCGCCGACGCCGTGTTAAAGTTCTCTCTTTTTATTGCACAAAGCCATTTCTTTCGTTTTCGTTGTTTCTCGACCCTGAGGGTATGCGGTACATTTTGTATCCGTCAGATGAACGATTATTGCACCCACACGCAACAAAACACCATATTTATCTTAAAAACTGTGAACACTAATAATAATCGCTATGTAAACACTAGTACAAGTTTCAAAAGTAGGAACCAAAATGGCGGGTTTTGATCAGATGACCGAAACTGACCAATCAGCGTGTACATATAAGAGAACAATACATGTCCCAACTCTTGTACTATAGAGGGCTCTGGTGTGACCTGATATGTTGATGTGAGATAAGAAGCCGGATTTGGTAGGGCATGATGACTGTTTTCCAGTCAGGGGCGAAAGTCCAAGGTGCTCCGAGATTCTGGTTTGAATATGGCGTGTTGTTTGACCAACATAAGACGCGTTGCAGTGTCGACACTTAAAGAGATAAACAACATCAGATTTCAGGAGCTTGGAAATCTTTTCCTTAAAAGGAAAGAAAGAGGAAATGCGCATAAATGGACGGATAACAAATCTAATGTTAATTGAGGAAATGCAGCCTTGCACAGGCGGTTAAATTGTGTGCGTATTTAGAGAGAGTGTGAGCCTGTGTATGCAAGGCAGAAGATGCGAGCTTCTTGGGCACGGTGATAATAGGCGGTTTGGGGGAAAAGACATTGTTGACGAAGAGGCAAGCAGTGTTGTCAAAAAAATGAAGAGGGGAAATCATTGGAACAAAGAGTTTCGAACCATCTCTAATTGATTGTAGAAGTTTTCGTAGCTTGAACAGATGCTGAAAGTACGGTTAATAGTGGTAGAGAGAAGGCAGCGTTTATAAGTGAGGGGATGAAGCTATGGAAGTGGGTTACGAGTTGGGTTTCCTGTAAACGGATGTTACGTATTTTCAGTCAGAACATGTGATATCAACTTCTAGAAAGGGGAGATTGTTATTTTGTTCGGTTTCAGAATTGAAAGTCATGTTAGGATTTTGTTGGTTGAGAAAATTGAGGACCAGAAGTATGTTATCATGGGAATAAAAAAGAAGAAAGCAGTCATCAACGTATCGTCTGTACAGGAGGGGTTTGAATATTAATTGACAGTTATTTAACCATTTTTTTTTCGTGATGTGACATAAAGATGTTGGCAAAAAGTGGTCCTAACCGGTTACCCATTGCAACACCGTCAAAGTTGAAATGACAGGGCTTTACAGCTAATGTGAGTTGGTTATGTAGTTGGGAACGTGAAAAATTGTTCAATGTGGACGTGTTAGAGAATAAGATGCTAAGAATGATATCAATTGTGACTTTACGTCAAAGCTTTCTATAACAACACTGCTTGAGTTGATGTTTCTGTTTAAGAGTTATTGAACGAATGAAAAAGAGTCTTTGATGATTATAGGTAGAGATTGGAGTGAGTATTTAGAATTTTGCGATGTTATAAGGATAATGGTTGATGGATGAGATTATGGGTCTGAGGGGTATGGTCAATTTATGAAATTTTGGCAGTCCGTATAGATTACCTATGCGAGATCCAGTGGTGTATAGTTCCTAGTGCGTGTTTTTGTTGATAGCGATTGACGCTAACAGTGTTTTTAAAAGCGATTTCACTTTTCCTTCACGTTATAGGGTGATTTCAATCTGATCTTCGTCAAGTAGTTCAAATTTAGTTTTGTCGGAAAGAATATCATCCATTTTCTTGTTGTAGTCTTCTTTATTAATTATTACTATATCGTTGCCCTTGTCAAGTTTCATGATGGCGATTGTAGTGTCATTTTTCAGGTCGTTGAGACAGTCAATTTCATCTTGTGTATATATGAAGTTTGGTCAGTTGTAGTTACGATGGCCAGACAGGGCGATGTCTTCAATTTTGTCAACAAACAACATCCTAACATAACTTTCACTTCTAAAACCGTACAAAATAACAATCTCCCCTTTCTAGACATTGATATCACACGTTCTGACGGAAAATTCGTAACATCCATTTACCGGAAACCAACATTTACTGGACTCTTCACCAATCTCCATAGCTTCATCCCCCTCACTTATAAACAATGCCTTATCTCTACCATTATTCACCGTACTTTTAGCATCTGCTCAAGCTACGAAAACGTCTACAATCAACTAAAGATGGTTCGAAAACTCTTTGATACAAATGGTTTCCCCTGTCAACTTTTTGACAACACAGTTCGCCTCTTCCACGACAACGTCTTTTCTCCCAAACCACCTATTATCATTGTGCCCAAGAAGTTCGTCTATTTCTGCCTTCCCTACACATGCTCACACTCTCTCCAAATACGCACACAACTTAACCGCCTCTACAACGCTGCCTCCGGTCGCGTTAACATTAGATTTGTTTTCCGTCCTTCTACACACATTTCCTCCTTCTTTCCTTTCAAGGATAAGATTCCCAAGTTCCTGAAATCTGGTGCATTTTAAAACAGTCATTATGCCCTAGCAAATCCATTATCATATCTCACATCAACATATCAGGTGACACAGCTTCCTTTGAAGACTTCACTATCATCTCATCCTCACCTTAAACTCCTAAATTAATGATCCTTGAAAGCCTCCCGTTCTCAAATCTAACACCTACACTTATTGCCCAAGGCAGTTCCATCCCACTCGAACTTTTCTAAATATCTCACAACGTTTTGCGTCCATTTCACACTCCATATCAGTATCTTCACACATACTTTTTATAATATTTTTATATACATATATATCATGCTCACCACACCTTACTGTAATCTAACACTTATGACTACACTTCTAATATGTAAATATAAACGCAAACTTGATCATTTTAATTACCTGTCTGATGATATCTTGTGCAAAGACGATACGTTACAAATAATTACTAATTTCTTTAAAAAAATGGATTTATTTGTATTTTGAGTTGGGCAATCATTTGTGTTGACTGAAAATTTAATGCTACGTACCGTATGTAGTTTAAATGATGCAAAAAATAACGAATAAATTTTACTGTAGCAAAACGCACTTTGAAAAAACTTCCAATGTAGATCACACAAATTTGGTGCTATCATTTTGACACATTACTAGTGAATGCACTATTATATTATTATTTGTAATTGTTCTGAAATCAACATGACACACCTTTGATGTATTTTAACAAGTCTCATGCTATGTATATTTATATAGTTGATGTAGGATGTCCAACATTTTCTTCTAAAGTAAAAAATTCTATTAACTTGCTTTCAAATGTGCGTTTTTTTGCAGAAATTAACCAAATTCTGCTAGAGATTGTTGAAGAAATTCCTAATAAATGGAAGAATTTGGCAATATTTCTGAACATCAAAGATGCAAAAATAAAGGAAATTGAATTAAATCATCGCAAAGTGGTCTGGCAAGGGTTTGAAATGCTAAAGTTTTGGTTTGAATCACGAGAAAATAAGCAGTTGTGGTACAAAGAACTTGCCGCTGCCCTTCGCAAGATCGAGAAAAATAATTTGGCTGAAGGCGTTCTCCATAAAGGTAAAAATGTTGCTAAATTTTGTTAAACTAAAATTAAAAGGCCATTTGTCCATTTTTAATAATCGCCATTTTCATGTAAAATTCAGAAGCCAACATTAGATTGGTTTTATTGAATTAAGCTTTAATAATATATTTGAAAAAATTACTCACTTCTCATTGGTTAATTAAGAGCAGTGCAATTTATTGTAAATACAAGTGGAAAAAAAATTAAGAAACACGATGCAGGAATAAGGAAATACAGTGCATTTTTTTTTAAAAAAATTTGCTCCTGATTGGTTAATCAAACAAAGAAGTGATCTAAGATCTAATCAAAATAAAACATTTCAAAGGCGTGAAAGTTAAATTAAAGTAAGCAAAGCAAATGCAATGGCTGGCGCAAGTTTAAGTAAATTTTCTTTAGTGAATGAGCTTACAATTCACCGTTTGCAAAACGTGTTCGGAAAAAAATTTAAACACTGCCAAAAGTCGTTACCTTGTTCTAGCTGCGTGCGTGAAAGCCATGAACAGTAGCGTAACTAGAACGTTAATTGTGGGGTTGGGAGGATGCATATTCAAATATTCCGTTGTGCCGTACTGATTTCTTTTGAAAGTGATTTGAATTTCATCTTCAGAAAATTAACATCCAATTTAATCGTAATATACGAGCCAGCCAGAATTGAGAAATTTTTTCATGTATATTAAGGCCTTAACAACTGAGCTCGAGGTCTTTACGGACGGACCGAGGTCCTTTTGCACCAGCTGAGCCCGTAGTAAAGTAAAGATCGTGAAAGCGAGGTTGCTAAAATGTTTATTATATACGGCATTATTTGACATGAAACAAATCTTGGTTTCTTTCTCGTTCCTGCTGTTTTCTAAGGGTTTGCTTTAACTTTTCTAATTTTTGTCAGTAAGAATAAATCATTTTTAATTTTGTTTCGTCTGCATAATAAAACTCTTTTCCGAGGGTTTTCCTTTCACCCAGCAAGCAAAATCACGTTGTCTCAACTTAGTACCAACTTTCGTCGAACGTCTACTCAACGTCGGGGACCAACGTTGAGTGTACATTTTTTTGTCAGATCGTAGGAACGTGGAGGCAACGTTAGGATGAACGTTGAGATGTAACGTATTTTAAACATAAGCCCAACGTTTATACAATGTTCATACAACGTTTATCCGACGTATATAAGACGTTTATCCAACGTTCATACAACGTCCATCCGACGTTCATAAAACATATATCAGACGTTCATACAACGTTTACCTGATCTTTATCAGACGTTCATTTAACATACAATTAATGAAGCATTATTTGTGAAATCATAAAACAGCCTTTCCAATGATACGAACTGAAGTTTAATTTTCATATAATCAACTTGACTTAAAAATCACTTGGTGTTGAACATGTTTATGTAGGTACGACTTTAAACAAGCTTGGCGATGTGCACCATCGTACTAAAGAATTTGACAAAGCAAAAGAATTTCACGAAAAAGCGTTGGAAATTCAACAAAAATCACTAGCTCTTGAACATGTTGATGTAGCTATGACTTTAAACATTCTTGGTAATGTTTATTATGATACCAACAAATATGCCAAAGCCAAAGAGTGTTATAAAAAAGCGTTAAAATTTCGACAAAAATTACAAGGTCCTGAACATGTTGATGGAGCTACGATTTTAAACAATCTTGGTAATGTGTATTATGAAACCAACAAATATGCCAAAGCCAAAGAGTGTTATGAAAAAGCGCTGGAAGTTCGACAAAAATCACTAGGTTCTGAACATGTTGACGTGGCTACCACTTTAAGCATTCTTGGTAATATGTATTATAGGACAAACAAATATGCCAAAGCCAAAAATTGTTATGAAAAAGCGTTAAAAATTCGGCAAAAATCACTAGGTCCTGAACATGTTGATGTAGCTACGACTTTAAACAATCTTGGTAATGTATATCATTCTACTAAAGAATATGACAAAGCAAAAGAATTTTATGAAAAAGCGCAGGCAATTCGAAAAAAATCAGCTGCATCGGATCATGTTGTTGTTACTGAATCTTCAAACTGTATTGGTATGTTATTTTTAATTTTTGTATATTATAGTGTATACAAGCGTTTTTAAGTGTAACTTTTAAGGGTTTTTGACATTTCAGCAAAATGTCTTTTGTGTTTACAAATCATGAATTCTATTATGTTTGGCTAGATCTGAAAAGAAGAAAACAATTTTAGGTATATTTATAAAATTAGTTAAAGCTGTTGCTGGTGAAATTGAGATTCATTTGGAGTAACAACGACATATGCAATTAAAATTTGTTTTTGTTAAAATTTTTCCATGTTTTCTTTCTATCTTATGTTTTATTATGTGGTTTGCAATTTAGGCAAAGAAACTACTGAGAGCCTTTTCCTCATAAATGTTTCTAAACTGATATGCCTAAATACAATTTGTTTGCCTTTGCCTTGGTTCAATTATTTTACTTTTTTTAAGTATCGTCTTTTTACTTAATATTAACGTATGCTTTAAAAAAATCTCAAGTACTCTATTTAAAATTGTTCTTGCTTTTTACCATAGCTACAAAGCTGGGGCTAGTTATTTTTATTACAAATATATTTTGTTTGTTCTATATATGACGAATTCAAAAATTTTCTACTAATTGCTTTTAAATATTATTCGTGAAAGTTGGAAAAATTAAAAAAAACTTAAGTAAAAATTAGCACATAAATAAAGTTCTACATTTTTTCAGTTTTTTATTTTGAATATTTTATGAAAGATACCAGATTTACAATATTGGATTTTAAAACATTTCTTTATTTTTTTAAAATCCTAGATTGATATATATCTTTGTTCTTGGAAAGAACGTATAGCTAAATTCTAACAATTTACTTGAAGACTTCATTCTTGCTTTTTTTCTTTTTATTTAATTTAGTAAACTTTATAAACTCCAGTTAACTCGGTCTTTCCCTAGAAATATATTTCTTATAAAAAGCGCCCTTCTATTTTACGCTATGGTTCACTTGCTCTACTTTTTTATCTTTTTAAAGAAATAAATTCTGATGATACTGCTGATGCCAAATCCCCTTCAAATTTACCCTTTCATACGGAGAAAGTAGAAGGTATGATTATTATATTAGAAGGTAAATATACAAAATTTAGAGCTTTACTAGATGAACTCTTTCATAGTCAAAAAGAGGGGAAATCGTGAAACTACTTGGAGTCTAAATCAAGTTGATTCCATTGATTCTTCAAATATTCTTTAACTTTTGGTTTTAAATATTGTTCATTGTTATGAAACTAAGCTGTTAGAACATTTTGCAATCACAGATAACGCAAAACCTTTCAAACTTTGATGTTATTTTTAGGTTGTAGTATTTCAAATAATACATGTTACTTTTATGACATTAAGATACTTTAAAAAACCAGCATTGATTATAACAAATTTTATACACAAAACCTCAAACGTAAAGCACATCCAGTGTCTCGCTTTTACTTTTTCCTTCCCGAAAAAAAAAAATACAGTTCTATAGGTAAAAATTAATTAAACTGTATTCTTTATTGACAATTTTAATATCACAACTATTTCAAATCAAATTTAAAAATAATCATTTTGACTACATAGATAACCTATCCCATAAAAACTCTTCGCTGAAACCAAGTAGTTTCCCGCATGTAGTGCGATTCAAATATTAGAATATGTTTAAGTTACATTCTTTATGTGGCAATTTTTTGTTAATGCGCAATAACAAACGTATAACGAATTAAAAAACAATATAAAAACTTAGAAGACATAAAGCTTGGAAGAAAAATACTTCCGTTCATAATTTTGACATTAAGACAATAAACACTACCATGACAACATTTACGCTTGAAACAATTTAGTTCAACCAACTTTTTCATATCTGCATTAGGTTGCACTATTTTTACGTGTGAAATATGTGAAGCTCCTTGCATGCAGTCAATTTAAAAACTGGACAAATTTTCTTAAGAAAAAATTTGGTTGTACTTCTTTCTTGCCATGAGTGAGGAATGAACGAGTAGCATGAAAAGAATACAAATTCAACATTCAGTATTTAACGCAAACCATATACAAAGATGCACGGAGGTTATTGCTGTTGTTTTACATAGATATATAAAAAGGCATGTTGTGCCTTCGCTTTTCATGATGACGAGTGGAATTAAAATCTATAACTTCAATTTAAGATATGTCTTGCTCAATCTTTTAACTCCAATTCTTTATCAACTACGTCACTACGTAGAAACATGATATTTTCAAAGTTTGCTGAAGTTGTAATAGTATGAAACCTATTGTAAAGACATATTTTTACATTATTTAGTATACACGTAAATAAAAACTGAGCCAAATTAACAGAAAATTTCTTGCTCAAATACACGCACCGACCAAGTGTGTCTGAGTTTCCAGCAGTGAATACGTTTTTCTAATTTTGCACAAGTTCTATATAAAAGTTATAAATGGTTTAGCATCTTTACCCCGATATAAAGAAACAGAAACCTAAACAGTTTATGTATATGTTGTTTCAGTTAGAGTTTTGACGTTAGGGTTACTAAATTCTGGCAGTGAGTACCTTTCTAACATCTCATATTACTTTACATTTCGGCAAAGCTGCTTTAATTTCTGTCTTTTTACGCAGATCCTTTTCCACTTAGCAAAATATATAGAGTATGAGATTCCCATAATTAAAACGTTAATTGGGGGTGCAAATGCAAAAACTATAAGAAATATAAAAACTCAAGAGATATAAATCTTGTGGACGAAGTAGTAATACACATGGGGGTTCGAAGCCATAAAAAGTTTACTTTTTATGTATTCGAATCCCCCATGTGTATTACTACTACACAAGTGGGTAAAAATCTCGAGGTTATAATCTATAGTTTAAAATATGGAATCTATATGTTTTTAAAAACGGTCTTTACAAACAAATGTTAAGAAAGCATCGGTTCGGAGGGGGATCGGCAGCGCAAATTTTAGCTACGCTAAAATTGAGCAGGGGAATGGATCCCCCGAGAATTCTAAGTGACGGCGGGGAAAATTTTCACGAAGTGAAAATTCGGAACGACCCCGTAGATTCGAAGAATATTCGAAGAATATTCGAGAATAACAGAGGCTTAAGAAATGCTCTTCAAAAAACCGTCTTTAATAATCAAGTGTTAACAAGACCCTGTCAGGCGCGTGTCTTAGTGCATGTTTTCAACAATGGTTGTTTAATGTAATAGCACATTTCATCAGCGCATGTATAATAATCAAGTGTTAATAATCAAGTGTTAATAATCAAGTGTTAATAATCAAGTGTTAACAAGGCCCTGTCAGGCGCGTGTCTTAGTGCATGTTTTCAACAATGGTTGTTTAATGTAATAGCACATTTCATCAGCGCATGTATAATAATCAAGTGTTAATAATCAAGTGTTAATAATCAAGTGTTAACAAGACCCTGTCAGGCGCGTGTCTTAGTGCATGTTTTCAACAATGGTTGTTTAATGTAATAGCACATTTCATCAGCGCATGTATAATAATCAAGTGTTAATAATCAAGTGTTAATAATCAAGTGTTAATAATCAAGTGTTAACAAGGCCCTGTCAGGCGCGTGTCTTAGTGCATGTTTTCAACAATGGTTGTTTAATGTAATAGCACATTTCATCAGCGCATGTATAATAATCAAGTGTTAATAATCAAGTGTTAATAATCAAGTGTTAACAAGACCCTGTCAGGCGCGTGTCTTAGTGCATGTTTTCAACAATGGTTGTTTAATGTAATAGCACATTTCATCAGCGCATGTATAATACAATGTTTTACAAAACTATGGAATCTATATGTTTTTTAATTTGTCTGTCAAGCGAGTGTTATATAATTTTTGTAAAAAGTGTTTTTAATAATTGTTTCAGGATTTTGAATCTTTTTGTATATCGCTTTTGTATTAATTACTTATTACAAACAGTTATGTGATATGTAGTCAAACATGAGGATTATTATTCATCTTAAGTTTTAGCTTGATAGTTATTTTTAATAAATTTTTTTAATTTTTCGATTTCATCATTTACAAATTTTTTAGTTGATAGAATATTATCTTCTATAGTAGCCCTAAAATTTTGTGAAAAACCATTAAATGACATAGATAATGTAGATTGATGTTGTGAATAAACTTGAATTTTGGTTAATCCATTAAATGCTGCCATGCAGTCTGTTAGATTTTTTAGAGAGGTTTACGCGCATTATAAAGCTATAAACTGTTTTCATCAGTCGCTATGTTGGGGGAAAATCGCTTATAATGAAAAGAACTTATGTTGATTTCATGTTATTTTGAGCATCGGCACTTTGATGTTCTCTCCGCAACACATTGAACTAAAATGAGCAAAGAAGGAAGCAACTGAATTTGTTGGTCAAATTGATCAAATGTCAATACAAACATGCAACGACAAACAAAAAAATGTCATTTTCGATTTTATTGTCATTTTCTCTTCGAGTTGCGTGTTCAATCAATCAATTTTTACTCCGTGAGAATTTCGAAACATTACACGCGCGTGTCTGGGGTATAGTCACGGCTTCAATTATTTCAGGTAGCGATGCATGTATTTACTTCAATGCCCAACATGACCGCTTTGACGTCACGCTTTCCTACGAAACACTTTCTTCAAGCATTCGACCAATCAGCGGGTGTTTTTTTAAAGAAAATTTCATAGTTGTTTATAGTATTAAGAATACAATAGAAAATTTATTGTGAGCAAGTTTTTAAATTTTTGGGAACATTTTGAGCATATTTTGACATTTTAGCAAAATTTAACGAAATTGATCACACAATCTAGGCTTGGTAATTCTATGGAGTGTTTGCATGTGACGTCAAATCGCCCAAGTTTGAGGAGTACATCAAAGTGCCGATGCTCAACAGAAAATAAAATTAGCATAAATTTTTTTTACTATATACAATGTTCAAACCAAATTGGTGACTCATGAAAACACTATATTCGATTTTCCGAATAATAAGTTCAAATTTTTTTGTAATAAATCGTTACGTCACGTTACAATTTTTATCGTAAAGTATTCAACTGTCATTATCATTGACGCCTGCGCAAAATGAAGGGTTTCTTTAGTCCCAAATAACAGACTAAACACTCTGGCTTATGTAAAACAAATCATATTTTTATTTGCTTTCCCCTAATATAAATTTAAATACTTTAATATTCTTCATACGAACACAGTAATAGTTTATGTTCAGTCACATTTTTCATACATTATGAAAACATTCACTTGCGAACGTTTGATAAAATTTGACGATTGTATGTTCTAGATACGAAAAGAACAAAGTAAGCGATGTTAAATCCATTTAGTTTCTTATAGGTTGGTGGATTTCGCTTTCCGTAAGAAAAATTAGCGCAGTTTTGAGCATTTGCTAAATATACAGCTGCAAAAGTTATAAAATTTGAAAATTTCATCGCCATTGTATGTTCTAGATACGAAAAGAACAAAGTAAGCGATGTTAAATCCATTTAGTTTCTTATAGGTTGGTGGATTTAGCTTTCCGCAAGAAAAATTAGCGCAGTTTTGAGCATTTGCTAAATATACAGCTGCAAAAGTTATAAAATTTGAAAATTTCATCGCCATGTTAATTGCTGCCGAGCAAGAACGAGGCAGCACACTATTCGTGACTCCTATTTCACTCGACCCAGTCTTTTCACGCAGCCTGTGTACTTTTCAACACTCGGATTTGGCGTCTGTCCGGCAAGACTTTTTAGGGCAAGACGTCACAATTTAGAACATTTTTTGATTGTGGGTGGGGTGGATGATAAAAATATTAAGTAGAGCACGTATGTTTTTTCGGTTGATAAACATTAAAGAACATTTTAAGATTTAAGTTCTTTATATTTTTGATTTGTCGAACGAACATAAAGCAAAGTTTTCTGGAATACTTGATATCAGCAGTAGTATGACTTTATTAACAGCTGCTGATTAGCATGAAGGCGATCCACTCGGAAAGAAAAGCAATGTGCTTTCATGATATTATCGACGCTTTTTACGGCAAGAACATTTTGTTGACTGCATCACATATGGTGGACAAAAGTACATTTAGCTAATGTGCTGTCACAAGTATACAATAAATGTGTAAAAACTCTCAATAGTGACCTTATAGTTTTAGAGTCAATGTTTCATGTAGTATAACTATTTTAGCATGTCAAATGATTTTTGTCTTAAATTATGTACGTACGTGTAATGGGATGGTCAAAAATACTTGCCACGTGTAAAGCCTCTCCGTTCACAAATTAAGTATATAACATGAGTAATATAGTCCTACCATAACAAGAAAATACTAACAAAACTACACGGCCTGTTGACCCAAAATTAGAGATTCAGTCAGTTGTATATTATCTTATAAACATGGGTACTTTTTTCATATACGGAGTAAACTTTGCTCCATTTATTTGTGAACGACAATGTTACTCTTCACAAAGCCTTAGGACGACAAATGAAGATATAGTATAATCTAATAAAAACGGTTTTCATTCATAATAGCAATGAATTTAATGTTAAATTTTTCGAGGATGTTTCTATAATCGTCGCAAGTAAAACATGGGAAGCGGATATACTTATGCTCGCTCGAGCTTGCCGTCGGCTTTCCGTGCGCTTGACTTCATTTCTTCAAAGCACTCGTCCCATGGATGAAAAGGGAAGCCCGAGCAACACTTTCCCTTGCGTTAGTAACTTCTAGTGTAATAATATTGTCTTAAAAATTGAGTTTCCAATTAAGTGATAGGAAACTAAAATAATAGCAAACTTTAAAAACTTTACCTCTATAAGCAGAGCCATACTTATCATCACCACCTATTGCACAAACAGCTGTAATTTCATAAGTTCCAGTGTAAGGCACTGTCCAATACTGGATACCTTTCGATACGTTTACCATATTTTCGTGATCCTGACCATTGTAAAATTGACCAATTGATGTTGGACCATGGCGACCAGTGGCTCCAAGATTTGTAAATATTGCATTGAATTGACGGAACTCAACTATATTACAATAAAACTATTGAATTGAATCATTTAAATTGCATATAAACCTTACGTGTTTTTACACTATTCAATGTACATGGTATCAAAGGCCATATTCCAAAATTTTTCTGAAATAAGACAAATAGTTTGCGCTGTAAACTCCGTCAAATTTGCAAAAATATACCATTTTAAGCGCTCGGTTTTACCACTATGGGACTGGGCCTGCGCGTCAAGCTGACATCATGTAAATAACACGGGTCTGAACTGTCGTAAAGATATATGAAAAGTATAGCAAGATGTTGTCATATAAGGCCAACTTAGTCGACTATAACCGGCAGGTTTAACGTTTTCTGCACATAAGACAAAAGCCTTCCCTCATTCCTTTTAATGAGCCAATTCTGTTGAAATAAGTGGCTCGACTTTGTTGCGCTAAAGCGAGTAAAATATCCAATATCAGCTATGTATAGTAATTGCATTTTAAATTTAAGCCCAAGAACTTAACTAGGCGGTATATATTAATTTGCAAGAGAAGCAAGCTTGCGTAGAATCTTTCTTCCCAGTCATTGCTGGCCCAATCTTCTCCTATGTATAAGGGGCACAAAAAGCACTTGTTTATATGAGAGCCGGGATGGATTGACTCCCAAAACGGGAGATGAATGAGACCTCGGTTTTATACATTTTCTATATGTAATTGTCTTTTGTTTGTGTGGAGCTGGGATGCTTTTTTGTCTCGCGTCGGTTAGTCTTTAGACAAAGGCTTTGGCAAATCAAGGCTGAGGAGATGTGATATGATGGTTTTTTAATGTCAATTACTTTTTGTCTCGTTGTAAAAACTCGGATAAACGCGGGATGTACACAACCCGTCTTAGAAACATCCTGTCATACCTTCCGATATAAAAAGTAAATATTATGCCACATGTGTTTTTTTTGCATTCGAGCCTAGTGTTGTTGCTGAAACTACTGCCGAAGTCTATGTCAAAAATTTCATTTTTTGATGAATCCAACGATAAAAATGCCTACCTAAATAAAGCCAATTTTTTAAAAAAGGACTCTATGGATAATTTACAGCAGACAGTTTGTCTTGAATTAAATAGAGCCGTGCAAACTGTGTTCCTTACATGACGTCACGACATCAACTTAATACCAGACCCCTTAGTGAAAAATCTATATGGTAAATTTGGATTTTTAACAGTAATTTCTTAAGGTAGGTTTAATGTAAAACAATTTACTTTTTCGAATTTGTTAATTTCACTAGTTGTTCCTTCAAACAATACTAAAATCCTGTAAGGTTTATATGCACTTTAATCAATGAATACAACTATATTTTATGTGAAGCGCAAGCTAGATTTGACAGGAAGTAATCAATCAAATGTTAAATTATAAAGCACAATCTATTATCCAATTAATTACAAGTATAAATAAGCAGAAACATTTTTCTGTCTACGTACCATCAGTTCTGTTTAAGCATATTGATGCATACGACCTTTCATATGATTTAACTTCTGTTTTGATGTCATCACAGCAATTTGGAGGAAGTGACGTATTATTCTTACACAGTACTTGATAAGCATCCATTTTTGAATCAACCAATCTTTTGATTTTATCACAGCACAAAGAATGACTCCTGGTGATAAAAATATCATTTTTCAAACTGCGAATTAAGATTGAATAGATATCTTTAATTATTTAAATTTGAATAGAATTTTTTCTGACGCAAACGACTCTTGAATGACTGTCTTAGAGTTTATGTCATATAAGCAACAAAAAATGCCTGGTGGATGAGTTATTATAACAATCTGCGTGTCATGAACGCAATTGAAATAAATTGCAACAGGAAAGGCATCTTTCGTAGCTACAAAAAGTCAAACGTCCTGACCCAATAGGAGCCCGGGATAACAATGTCCGTTATAATTGCCTTCAACATAAAAATTGCTAGTGGACATGCTAATTTAAAAATTACGAGAAGAAGAAGAAGTAAAATGCAAAAGAAAAAAAAACAGACAGAATGTTGAAAAGAGAAGTGAAAAAACAAATCTTCTGGAGTGAACGCATAATAGGTAATAGGTTGGAGAAAAAAGAAAAGTGATATATATGATAGAGAAAAGTCAGATTAAGGTTTCTTGTGTTATGGAAACAAGATTTAAGAAAGCAAAAGCAAGAAAGTTATGATAAAGCTAAAAAAATTGTCGCACAATAATGCTTAAAAAAAGAACGACAAGCATGGGTGCAAAAATGATTTACTGGACGTAGTTGCGAAATTTGAAGAATAACAGATAGTTTGTTATGTCTAAGGATTGAGAAAAGTAGAATAGTGGTTGACATAAATAGAGCGTTTGTACGGCTGAACAAATGAGTAACAAAAAGAAAAAAAATTCTGACAGGTCCTAGATGATACATATAAAAAGATACTTAAGGTAGAAAGGATTGTGATGTAAGCTGATTTGAAAGGACATGTTGGAAAAATTAACAAAAGAAATGACATCTTGGGGAGCTATGGAACTGGGAGGAGAAATGTTGAAAGAACGTTTATCGTGAAATCTTTTGAGAGAATGGACCTATAGCTGTGTGAAGCCCTTCTAAGTGTGTGCTGTGAAATAAGAAACTATCTGCTAAATTAAAGGAAGAGATTTATAAGAGTGTTGTCAGACCGGCGATAATGTATGACATGAAAACTATAACAGTAGCAGCTGAAAAAGGGTTGACTGGATGTAGCCGAGCTGAGAGTGGTCAAGTGAGCACTTGGAGTCACTAGAATGACAGAAACAGTAATTAGAACGTGCAAATCGAAGGAAAATTCATAAGGACTGGTTAAAAATTAAAAAAGGATGCGCAGCAATGTTTGCACATGTAATCAATGACGTAGTCAGCCTGCAAATTTAGTCCTGCTATGTTAATTTTTCTGTAATCACTCACTGTAAAAACAACAGATTTCTAAAGAAATGAATATTGTTAATGATCTAAAATTTACATAGAAGGACCAAAACTTGCGGGCTGGTTACGCCACTCTATGTAATGATAAGAAAAGACGATTTTAGTGGAGACAGTTACCAAAGATGATAGTGTCTTTCTAGAAAAAAAGAAAAATGCCGTGTAAAAGATGCATAGATTTTGCGAGGAATATTTTATATATGAGAAAGGTGGGTGTCAAGTGTCAAGAAGGGAATAAATGAAGAGCTGAAAACAGCTGAAAAGAGATAAAAATACAAGCAAAAACTTATTATATTCAATCAACATAAAATCTGACGAAAAACATGGATCAAACAAACACCAGCACACGAAACTTACATTTGTATGGATCCATAGATAACTACAAGTAGGAGGGAAAAGCCAAAAGCAAAATTTGTCATCTTTGTTATAGTTCGTGGTGTTGAATAATCAAAATGAGGCAAAAATCTATATAATTGCAAATATGTGGTTATTTGCTTTGCGGATTTACACATATACATATGAGAGAAAGAATAAAGAGTATGTGCAAATATACAAATTTTGTAGCCATTGCACTAGTAACTTTTCCATTAATTATCTTAATGTGAACGCTTTTGTTTTGTTTTCGTGAGAGGTCAGTCGCCGTTTTTTCCGTTTCATCTTGTTTTGTGATTATTGCTCATTGCTGAAGATTTTATAGATCTTAAGTAAGAAAATAAGTTTAAAACGGCATGCCAATGTGTGTGCCTCAATTATGTTGTTGTTTGGTGAGATAACTATAAGTAATAATACATTTCTTGCCCAATTTTTGTCTAATCTAGCAGTCCGTTTTCAGTAAGGACTTAAAAAATCGTTTAATCTCCAATTTTATACTTAAAAAAAAATACAGAAGGCTGCTTTGAAGAGTTCTTTGTTAGTAATATCCGTAGAAAATCGGAAATATTGAATTAAAAACTTTATTGTTTTGAAGGCAAAATAAAAATTTATAATTTAAATGTACAGCTTGTTATTAAAGTGACAATAAGAATTAAAATAATCTTCAAATAGAAAATGAAGTGCCATTTGCTTTACACTGTTGATTCTAATTAAAGAAAAAACTATAAATTTTCTTCTTTTTTATATATCAAAAGTTTTCATAATTATATTTTTGAATAAGTTATACATATAAATATATGCAATATTCGACTTTTATACGACATCCAAAAAAACTTTACATGCGAGCAAAATTTTGTGGGTAGGCCTAAGTTAATTGTCGTAAGAGACAATTCAAATATGATACAACTATTTATTACAATTAGCTCTTCAAGTAAACCTAAATGGGACACATTAGATTACATACAGAAATATATTATGAATAATTAAATTTAAAAAAGAATATAAATATCTGTAGATTTTGCAATTTTAGACTTATAGCCAGTTGTTATATAGAGCTGTGTAGAGCAAGGAATGACAATAAATACTTTAGAAAGATCATAACACTTGTGATTTAGCTTTTAACTGTTAAATTGTAATCTCATATCCAAATTAAAATGTTCATGTGTTCGCATGGCCAACAAGACTCATACAATTAGCTACAACAAACTTTTTATGTGATCATTTGTTAAATTATCGTAGAAAGAAATTAATTTTCTGTTATTATATAAGAAAATGACTGACAACGTTTATAAAATTACCAGGATATAAATGAGTGAATAGGAGATTAAAGTCACTTAACTATATTAAAGTACAATTTTAAAATTCTTATAAAACATGCTATACTGAAGGCTTAGTCTGTCTCCTGATTGTTTCAATATTCAATGCGTAATGAAAATGTAAAAGAATAAAAACAAAAAAGAGTAATTTTGTGTCTTTGTTTTACGAAGAGGTACCTAAGACATTTACGTTCTGCTCTCAATTCATACTTGAATACGTAATGCCCCATTATATACATATCAATGGTTTTCTTGACTATATTATGAAAAGATGTAGTAGTCATTCAAAGGTAATCATTTAGCCTAATTGTTTTCTTAATTTGAGAAAATGAACAGATGAGAGCAGTTGCATGGGAAGCCAAAGATTATAAATTTTTTTTTATGTTTATGCTTTCATGTTTTTATGGTCTTGTAATGAATTACAGACAACTGCATGTCTTATACATACATTATCAGGATAAACTTTATTATGTTTAAACTATCTTTTGTATTAGGTGTTGAAGATTATTCTTGCTTATGACATAATAAACTGATTTAATCACGACGCATAAATTAACTAGTAATAAGCCCTTAATAACCGAGCTCGAGTGCTATACGGAGAAATATCGGACCGAAGTCTTTTTGTACGTTATTAAAAGTTTTATTATCTGGCATTATATGACTTTAACGAAGCTTGCGTTCGTTTTCTAGTTTTTGTCAGTAAAAAAGAAAACGTTTCAAACTGTAGCTATCTTCTAGATAGTTAAACTGTTTTCCGAGAGTTTTTCTTTCGACTCACATTCGCAAATGGTTTTTTGTTTTGTTTTTTCTTGCGTTTTGCTGTTTGCTTTACGAAGTTTGTTTATACTTGAGTGTAAAGTTATGCATTTTGGATCGTAGTCGATTACGGGAAAATAATGAATCGGAGCTAGTCAAAGTGCGCCATTTGGAAGAAGTGGCGCATGACATTTACTAAAAAGAAATAATCAGCATCTTTTCTTTGCATATCATGAATCTTGAGTTTTTTCTTTTTTATAGTTGATGTAATTAGCTCAAAATTACTGTCGTAAATATTTTGTATAGCGATAGTTTGATGGGGGATCAATACGATCCACTTCCATTTTTTGTCTTTTTACGCCTTACACTTACATCTCTCATGCTTTTAAAAGTAATGTGTATCTGTAATATATTGCATATAAGCACCTGCATTGCATAAGAGTTCATACTGCAACAAAGAACAGGCTTACAAAACTTTAAAGAGAGTTACTTCTTAAAGCGCCAATTTAAAATAGCAAAATATTTACATACGAACACATTTCAATAAAAATGTAATATAAATTGACTACATATATACAAAACATTTGATAAATACACGTACTTGTTTTAATTTATCCGCTGTTTTCTTAAGGAATTTTTTCCAGGGAGCTCTGTTCTTATTCGAGCTCTGCAAGAAGTGCAAGCGTCTCAAACAAGAAATGAATTTATAAATTTAAAATGCAGGAAATTGCAAGTGCTTCCATATTTGTGTTCTTAAGCCCATTGCTTAAACGGAAGCCTTCGTATATTTCTATAGGGTTTGTTAATTTAATTGCACAAGCTCCTTTTCTATTTTTTGAAGTACGAAGGTTTCGCATGCTTTGGTTCACGCAGTGACTTAGCTACTTTATCTTGGCAAAATATGAAGTTTTTGACTCCTGATATATTAGAGAATATTCAAGAATAAACATTGTCATTGTTAATCATAAGAGAACATCAGTTAAATATCACGTGATCGAAAACGTATATCAAACGATTATATCATCTAGTTGTTTTTGAATCTTTTACCTCCAAGTTATGTATATTGTCACTTATCTAATCAAACTTTCTTTCTTCAATAAAGCAACTATTCCAATAAAAGTTAACAGTAATAAGAAATCATCAAAGCCAAACATAGACATCTGTTTCTTATCATTTACAAGTATTTGTTTTTCTCATTGTATGAAAGTGGGCACGGATTGCTTTTGGTTGATTGGAATTTCTTGACGTGGCAGTTAAATTAAAATAAGAATCGACATTTTAAATCGTTAGGTGTGACCAACAAACGCTGACATATTTAGTAATACATCGATAAAGAATAGATATTATTTTGACATTCATACAAGCCAAGCTTTAAACATTCGGTGGCTTTAATGAAAAGATTTGTCGGTATTAGATTTTATTTTGTTTCAAATTTGACAAATTTTTTTCACTTACTATTTGTTACTTGATTATCTGCTATAAAGCTTTCTTTTACTGTCGTGTAATAGTTTACAGACAACTGCTTAGCTTGCATGCACAACATTATATATATTGTTGTGGAGTCATAGCCATGTTGTCATAGCCATGTCATAGCCATTTTGTGGTGTCATAGACATACATTACTGTCAAAGCCATATATTTTGCATACCGTGAGTTTGATGGGGATCACAATAAGCTTCTTTTCTTCTATATTTCTTAAAGGGAACCCTTCGTATTTATATAAAAGTTTTTTGAATTAAGTAGGGTACATACACAATGTTTATTTTAGCCACTTAGTCTTTACCAATGGAAAATATGTGACTCTTTAAGAACAATTAACCAATTAATGTCCAACTGTATGTATCCATGCAATTTAATTTTCATATACGTGTGAAAATTATACACGAAAATTTAACAATAATGGGAAAACTGAGAAATATAACCTTGTTCAAGCAGCTGTACGTTTCATACATGATGAATTAATTAACTAAGAAAAGATTATTTTTGTTCTTAAGTATCTCATTGTAGTTAGTAAGATTTGTCAACTTATGATCAAGAGAAAACATCAAATCATTCACAAACATGAATTTCCCTTTCGTATGACTTTTTTCCCTTTTTGTGTCGTGGTCAGTAGCTACAGATTGCTTTTGGTTGAATAAAATTTGCTTGACGTGGCATTTAAATTTTCAACGTTAAAAATAAATATGCATTAACATTTTACATCTTTAGGTGTGCCTAACAAACCTTGAGATATTTACTATTACATCGATGAAGAATCGATAATATTAATTAACATCTTTGCACATTTCAGAAGGAGAGGCAACTTTAAAATTCAATAATTTTCATGACATGCAAACTAAGGTTATGGCGTGTACATGTATATTACACAGATTTAATGGAACTCCAAGGACTATCTTGAGGAAAATTTATAATTTATTTTCATTTAATCAACGTAACTAGCTGCCTTGAATTAGGGCCTGTTCACATGAGCTCGGTTAGCGAGACATCTCATCTATCTATGATCTTGCTTTGCAATACATTTACTATTGATATTCACGTCGTGTTCATACGAAATAGCGGGCTGGCCCGGTTGCCGAGGTCTCGCTTGTAGGAGACGAAATCATAGGTAGGCGGGATGAAAATCGATCCTGTGAATGGCCAAGCTCAAGCGTTCACTCTTAACTGACGCAATACGTAAACCGAGCTAGTTACCTTGACAACAAAGTGTAATATTTATATTATTGCAATCCCAATAATAAACCTTTAAAACATTATATCGCAACCATTTTCAATATTACATCTGCAAATAACACAAAAAGATGCAAATGCGTCGTGAAAGGTGAAAAATATTTTTTGATACTGTGAAAGCAGCGAAGTAAAAGAAAAGACGGCCAGTTTTATTTTTTAGTTTATTGGCGCTCTAGAAAACAAATTAATGAGTGAAAGACGTTTCTTGGTGGATGCAAGCAAAGGCACCGGTTTGTTCTGGAGAAAAAACTATCGATATGTGGAAGGATGATGGGTTGTGGCTAGAAAATTTTCGTATGTCTAAGGGAACATTCGTTTTAATTTGCGACAAGATCAATGACACTCTTGCGAGAAGATACAAATTTCAGAAAGGCTATACTTTTCCAAAAAGAGTAGGAATTTGTCTTTGGCATTTGGCTACCAATGAAGATTTGCGTTCCTTAGCTTGGCGTTTTTGGTATAGGAAAAAGTACGGTCTGTGGAATCATGTACGAGGTTTTCCAAGCTATTGTTGACGTGTTACCCAGGCTGGAAAGTATGTCGTTTTTCGACGAGATCTCCGGTGCGCACTATGAAATTACTGGTGTGCTGGTGTGCAAAATAAATTTTATGGTGCACTGGTGCGCATATGACGATCAAATCATAATAATATTAAATTAATATACGAAGTATCGCTAATCTCTGTGTACACAGGCTGTTTTCAGTGTTT